ATACATACAGTCAGTTTAAGTCGCGTGTGAATAGTGTCTGTGAAACGAAATAAAAAATGGCACATGTTTATGCGGATCGGTTTCCCAATCGAGTGCAACCAACCCCTCGTGCCTTTGTTAATGTAGTGCAACGGGCTCGTGAATCAGGTGACTTAAGACCTCACAGGGGACCTCACGATCAAATACAGGTCCGCACTGAAATACTTGTCGGGAGGATACTTTATAAAACAAGGTAAAATTTTTTTTTAATTTTTTTTTTATTTTTACACACATATTTTGGTTTATCTTCCTTCTACAATCATTATCTGAAAATTAATGACTCAACTTCAAAGTCACCCTGTATAGCAAATGGGAGAGACAATCATTTCCTCCTTTAAGTTGGTAACCTAGGTTGGCCTCGTTGAGCAGCGTACTTAAAGGAACCATCGCAATCACAAACAGAAGAGGTGACAAGGTATCACCTTGATATACACCTCTTTTTATCTGTATGGGTCCTAACCCTATTTCTTCCCAATTATTACTGACTAACAGGGTAGTACTCCATAGCGAAATCAATCGCTTACATAGATCAATGATCTTCTCAGATGTTCCTATAAGCTTCAGAGATTTCAGGAGCCAGCTGTCCGGGACGCTGTCGAATGCATTTCTATAATCAATCCATCCAATGCTAAGACTTTTTGTTCTCTTTACAATCTTCTACAATGGCTTTCGAGAGGAGTAGCTGATCCTTGCAACCAAGCGAGCCCTTGCCACAGCCTTTTTGTTCAGTTCATTATTATTATTATTATTATTATTCCGTTTTCTGTTAGCTATTCTCTGCTACTGCAGGTGGTATCCTCAAACGCGGCAGTATACTGCAAGCATCTGAGTGTGACTATTGGTTTCTCTTTGTCTATGTGGCTACATTCAGGACCTTGAATGCTATATGACAACTACTTAAGATGGCAGCTTTCTGAAGTGAGAGGTATAGTTTCTGCGACAGATTTAGTTTCTCAATATATTTATGTAGACTCTTAGGTATTTCTCCTGTGGCTCCGATCACTATTGGGATGACTTCAACTTTTTCTTGATTCCACAGTGTTTTTACTTCTGCAGCTAGTGGTAGTACTTGCGAACCTTTTCTGTCTGCTTCTCAGCTATGTTATGTGGGGCAGGCACACTAATGTCAATTATGCAGGTTACTTGCTTCATTTTATCTTGAACTACGATATCATTTTTGTTGTACTCCATGGTGTGATCTGTTTGAATTGTTCTATTCCAGTATATTTTATGGCTGTCAGTTTCTATAACTGGAGTCGGCTGGTACTTGTAATATGGGATGCGGTCAGTTAGTATGTTCGCAGCATAACAAATTTCTTGGTGAACTATTTTAGCCACGTTGTCGTGGCGCTTCAGATACTCAGTGGAAGCTAGGGGAGTGCAGCTCGTCAGGATATGCTCTATTGTTTCCGACTTGTTATGACATATACGACATCTATCTTCAATGCCTTCTTCTTTCATGATGTATTTTCTATAGTTTAAGGTTGGTAACACCTGATCTTGAATGCAATCATGAAACCTTCAGTTTCCGAAAATAGCTCCCCACTCTTCAGCCATCCATGTGACGCTGCTGCATTAATGTGATCTGAGCTGAGCATGGCTGGATGTCTTCCATGAAGCTGTTTGGACTTCCATTGATGATACCATTGTTCGTCGGTGGTCACATGGGTTAGAGGTTCATACTGTTCATCCGACAGGTTCAGTGGTGTGAACTTGTAGTCAGCTGAAGCTATATTTCTGTGATATGCAGATGTTTCGCCTTTTCTATCAAAGAATCTCCTGAGGTTTTCTATATTCCGCAGGTTAGCTGCTTTAAGGTCAATCACGCCTCGTCCTCCTTTGGATCTTGGCAAGTAGAATCTTTCGATCGAACTCTTGGGATGTCTTGCTCTATGATTTGTAAATAAGACTCTCTGTTTCTGTTTAGCTGCTCTAAGTCAGAGTCAGTCCACTTGATTATTCCGAAGCTATATGTTATTGTCGGAATAGCATATGTGTTAATGGCCCTTACTTTGTGTATTGCGGACAGATGAGTCTTAAGTATTGATTTGACCCTACTCGTTAATCTTTGCTTTAGAGCTTCTTTCATATCTTTGTGTTTGATACCCCTTGCTTGATCTAATCCCAAATATGTATAGCTCTCTTTCTCAGACATGCTTCTTATTGTCTGACCCTGCTCCAACATAAACCCTGGGGGATCTTCCGATATGCCTTTTCTAATAGCCCCAATCTTACACTTGTCCAGGCCAAACTCCATTCTTGTGTCAGCACTGTATCTCTTAATGGTTTTAAGCAACCTGTCCAGTCCATCCTTAGTGGCAGATATTAGATATTATTATTATTATATTATTATTATTATTATTATTATTATTGTTTATTTTCCACAGCCCTATCTATTCAACTGGTTCTGTCCATGTGGGCCGGTTTTGGTTGTTCATTTTCATTATGGTACTTCGAAGATGTTACCCACATCCTAACGAAGTCCATTACCTTATAGTGTCTTACGTAATATGGTTGCTGTACCATACAAAGCAATCTCCTGCACGTCTGCTGCCCTGTGCCTTCCTGGTATGAGATTTAGGTTTTCACGTAGATTGTCTGGGATCGTCCCTAATGCACCTAAAATTACGGGAACTATCTTCGTCCTCAGATTCCACATTCTTTGGATTTCAATTGAGAGATCTTTGTATTTCAATTTCTTTTCAGCTACTTTGTTTACAACGTTTTCATCGTTGGGGACTGAAACATCTATTAACAGGCAGGTTTTGTCACGTTGGTTTTTGACGATTATGTCTGGGCGGTTCGCGGATATCTCACGATCTGTTTGCACTGGTAAGTCATATATTATGGTAATCTCATCTTTACTAACTACTGGAGTGGGGTTGTGATTATACCATTTTTCTTCCACTGCGATCCCAAAGCTTATACAGATGGCATGATGCAAGTATATGCATATTTTATTATGTCGGACCAAGAACTCGTGCTTCGCCAGTTGAGGACAGCCGGATATAAGATGATCTATTGTTTCTGAGTATTGTTTACATATTCGACATCTATCATTTGCTGTTATTTTGAGGATATGTTTCTCATAATGTCTTGTACGTAAGGCCTGGTCTTGGGCGGCCGTTATCAGGGCCTCTGTTTCACCTTTTACCTTCCCTCTCGTGAGCCACGCAAACGTTTGGCATTCCCTGGCCTCTTAATTCTCTTCACGTATTGAACATGAAGCTGCTTTCGTATCCATTTATCCTTCAAGGTCTTCCTTGTCATGGACTTAATATCTGTAGACAGTATTTCTTCTATCCTCGACCGCTTGATTTTCTATTTCCGGTAAATGTGTCTTTACAATTTTATCGCTGACTTGACTACTGACTTTCCAACTCGAGGGTGCCTTTCACATCTCCAAATTTGTCTAACTAACTTACCATTTCTGCGGCTTCTTAAGTAATTGGCTATGGATACAACTGTATTATCATAAGTCATCTCTAATTGCCTGAGCCCTCTACCTTCTTCTATACGACTCACATGTAGCCTGTCTACATCAGCTCTAGGATGCAGCTGTCCATGAATAGTAAGCATCTTCCTTGTTTTACGATCTAGGTCTGCAATTTCCTTCTGACTCCAATCTATGATTCCAAAACTGTATTCTACTATTGGAACAGCTATACTGTTGATGGCTAGCAGTTTATTTCGTGCTGTTAAGCCTGAACGTAGTACCATCCTAAGCCTTCTTAGATATTCTTTGCTGATGGTCTCTTTCATTTCATCATTACACAATTCTAGGTTTTCATAAACTCCAAGATATTTATAGCTTTCCCCAGCATCTAGGTTTTTGATGGTAATATTTGCCTGGACTGTTATGTTTTCCGTTTTTTCCACTTTTCCGTTCTTTATCGTCGCTTTGGCGCACTTATCTAATCCGAAGTTCATATGAATTGTGCTACTGAAGTCGTGAACTATCTTAATTTGCTCTTCAAGCGCTGTGTCCAAACTCGCGTACAACTTTAAATCATCCATGTACAGAAGATGTGTTGTTGGCTGCTCATCTTTGAGTAGTTTATATCCCAATTTTGGCTTTTGATTTAGCATTCTGGACAGGGGGTACATCATCATGCAGAACAGGAGAGGTGATAGTGAATCTCCTTGGAATATTCCAGATTCGATTTTAATCTGCGGGGTATTATTGACAGGTGCATCCTTAGATTGTATCTTCAGATGGGTGTTCCATTCCTTCATACTTTTTTCACACAGATTGATGATGTTTGGGTCAATTTTAAATATTTTAAGTATTTTCAATATCCACTGGTGTGGTACGCTATCGTAAGCTTTTTGATAATCTATCCAGCAAAATGAGTATTGTAGTATTTGTAGCGTTCATCCCTTTGCATATTGATGATCTCCCCTTGCGACCCTCTTACTTTATACCCTTCATGCTCTGTCCACTTACCTTTAGTCATGCAACTTATGCGGCATTTATCTAAACCAAACGTCATTTGCACATCTTTGCTAAATCTGCTCACACAATCCAACAGCGCATGTAGGTGACCTTCTTCTCTGCAAATAATTTCAGATCATCCATATACCAAAGATGAGATAGTTGTGTACCATCCTCGGCAATCTTTACGCCTTTTTCTTGACTGTTTAACAGCGATGTTAGTGGGCGTAAAGCTAGGCAAAACCATAGCGGGCTTAGAGAGTCGCCCTGAAAGATCCCTCGTTTTATACTGACTTCTCTCCAGCATCTATCTGCGAGTCTGGGGTGTTAAGACAGAGACGCGTTTTCCATTTGGACATTGCATAGGTCAATAGTTTCACGATATGGTTTTCTATGCCATAAAGGTGTAGCACTTCCGTTAACCATGAATGTGGAATACTATCAAATGCTTTCTGATAATCGATGTATGCAGTGAACAAGGGCGACTTCTTTTTTCTGGCACTACCCGTTATTATTTCATCGATTATCAGTTGTTCTTTACATCCTCTTGAGCCCTTCCGACATCCCTTCTGTTCCTCATCCAATAAGTTGTTACGTTCCAAATGATTATGTACTTTGTCAGCCATATAGCAGTAAGGAGTTTATACGCTGTAGAAAGGCAAGTAATTGGCCTGTATTTTGCGGGATCAGCAGTATATTGTTCAGTTTTTGGGATCAGGTATGTAACTCCTGTTGTTAGAAATTCTGGGATAGTTTCCGGCCTCTCGAGGAATGTTGAGTAGCATTTCGCAAGTTGTTGGTGGGTGGAAGTAAATGCCTTTATCCAGTAATTGTGAACACCATCTGGCCCTGGAGCTCTCCAATTGGAAGTCCTACCTATTGCTTTCACTACATCATCCTTAGTTATGGTCCAAGACAGCATTGCTTGTATGGAAGTTCTAGCCTTCTCTTGCTGATACCAATGCGCTGTTCTGTGTTCTCTGGGGTTGCTCCATATACCGCTCCAGAAGTGTCTTATGTCTTCTGTGTTAGGAAATGATGTTTTTCCTTGTAGTGTACGATCTGATTCTTTGCCCACAGATTTATAAAATGCTCTCTGATTTCTATGAAATAGGATGTTTTGTTTACGACGTTGGCTGCTCTTCTTATATCTCTTCACTCTTTGAGATAAGGCTAATAGTCTCTGCTTTAGAAGGTCCAAAACTTCGACTATGGTTGGGTTTTCTTCCGATGTATATCGTCGCATTATTGTGTCCCCTTTCTTTTTCACTCTTTGGCTGTATGTCGGTTTTTGGTACTGCGTTAGGATAGCTATATCGCTCCTGATATTATCTATGTTCTTGCTTAGCCTCCTTTCCCAAGCTGGCTGCCTTTTAGTTCCTTTCCGACTTGTAACATCTGTAGGTCTCTGATCGTTTAGCTTTAGAACCGCGAACGCCCCAGCATAGATCATGGCGTGTAGGTCCTTAAAATCTGTTTGGTCGCTAATAGCAGCAGCGATAATTCTGTTCATTTCACGTAGGTTTTTAGCTGCCGTTGGGTTGCAAATAGTTTGGGTAGCCGAGGCTTTTTTGTCGGATCTATACCGTCATAGCTCATTATGATGGCTCTAAATTCCTCCTCCAGCACTGATGGCGAATAGCTTGGCGTTTCAGTCTGAGCGTCATTTGCTTGCTCTTGACTCTGCTGTGCATCATTTACCATGCCCAATTCGGTTGCTACTTCATGCCTAATTGTATCTATTCTCTCCGCTGGCAATCTGCTGATCACAAATATAGATCTGCGCTGGTCTAGGATGTTCTGCAGTGTCTTTGTCTTAACTGGGGAAATTTTTCTGTCACTAATTTATGCAATTCAGCACCATAAGGTTCCTGTGAAGTTTGCAATTTGGTAATTCTATAGTAGCAGCGAACCACGTTATTTTATTATTATTATTATTATTATTATTATTATATTATTATATTATATTATTATTATTATTATTATTATTATATTATTATATTATTATTATTATTATTATTATATATATTATTATATTATATTATTATTATTATTATATTATTATATTATATTATTATTATATATATTTTATTATTATTATATTATTATTATTATATTATTATATTATTATTATTATTATTATTATTATTATTATTATTATTATATTTTATATTTTATTATTATTATTATTATTATTATTATTATATTATATTATTATATTATTATTATTATTATTATATCTTCTTATTATTATTATTATATATTATTATATTATTATTATTATTATTATTATATATTATTCTTCTTATTATTATTCGTTTCTTCTTTCTTTCTTCTATTCTTCTTATTATTTCTCTTCTCTTATTCTTCTTATTCTTCTTATTCTTCTTATTCTTTTCTTATTCTTCGTCTTCTTCTTCTTCTTTTCTTCTTCTTCTCTTCTTCCCTCCCCCCGCTCCCCGCCGCCTTTTCCACCCCCCCGCCGGTTTCCTTTGCCCCCGCCCCGTACTGGCGTCCGCCTGCCGTCGCTTCTACCTCTGCAGCTCATGGCCCTCGTCTCTCCGTTTCCTCTCCCTGTATCGCCTTGTTTTTCCGTTACAGCTGTGGATCCGTCAGCTCCCAGGTTAAGCCGGGTCGCCGACCTGAAGCGCGGGATATGGTGAGCGCAAGAGCCAGTTTTCGCATAGCGGGGATGAGCGTGATTGGGAGAGGTATAAGGATATACGTAGAATATACCGTCAAAAATTGAAATTGGAAAAAAGGAACTTTTACTTTGAAATGATACACCAGGCGGATAATAAAACTAAAGCAATCTGGAAGATAGTCGATAGCGAGAGAGGCATCAGGAAACAGAAACACACAAACGTCTCAAGTGATGAATTCAATAGTTTTTTCAGTACTATTTCTTGTAAAATTCTTGAGGGCATTGAAAAGCCTACTATTAATTACTTGTATCTCCTCAACCGTACTCCCAAGACACCACATTCGTTCTTCATGTCTGCGATACTCCAAACAGATGTGAGATGTGCTATAGCTCAACTAAAAAACTCGCCCTCACTCGACTTCTATGGTATGAACAGTGCTATGTTGAAAATAGCCAGTGAGGATTTCATTGAACCTTTAACAATACTATTTAATAAGTGTGTTAATGAAGGCGTATGGCCTGATGCTTTTAAATTGTCAAAGGTCATTCCCATTCATAAGAAAGGGAATGAAGATAATCTCGATAACTATAGGCCAATCACAATAATTCCATTAATAAGTAAATTATTCGAAATTGTAATCAAAGAAAAATTAATAAAGTACTTTGAAAAGCACTCCCTCCTTTCAGCTTCCCAATTTGGTTTTCGAAAGCACTGTTCAACCATTAAAGCCATTCTTAGTTTTCTTGAGGATGCATTAGAGTGCATTGACAAGAGAACCACCGCTCTAGCAACTATGTGTGACTTAACCAAGGCTTTTGACTGTGTAGACGCAGTTATACTGCTTGACAAATTGGAGTACTATGGGATCCGTGGCAAGCCATCACAGCTTATGAGATCATACTTAGCTAATAGGAGACAGATGGTTAGCCTTGATGGAGTAGAATCCCAGGTTCTACCGATTACGAACGGGGTACCCCAGGGCTCTGTCTTGGGCCCTCTATTATTTTTAATCTACATCAATGACCTCCCACAAAATGTCAACAATAGCAAATGCTACCTTTTTGCAGACGACACTACTCTGCTCTCCAAGGCTACCCAACTTGACGAGGCCCACAGTCTCGACCAGGTTAAGTGGTGGTTCTCGGCAAACAAGCTCAAACTTAATGAAGCAAAAACCAGCAAGCTAAGAATAACATCAGACAAATGGAATGAGACTTCATCATCCGTAAAGTTATTAGGGATCGTTGTGGATAGCCGCTTGACCTGGTCGGAGCATGTGGACCAGGTTTGTACCAAGATTTCCAGACAGATGTTTATCATGCGGCAACTGGCTCAGTGTTTGCACAGACAAACCATGAGAACTGTATACTTTAGCCTCATTCATAGTCATCTGTCGTATGGTATCATCCTCTGGGGTAATTCTGTCAATGCCCAAAAAGCATTTACAATGCAAAAGGCTGCTATACGGATTGTAGCTGGCGTCTCCTACGATCATACGTGCCGCGGTTTGTTCAAAGAGATGCGCATACTGCCGTTAGCATGCCTGCTCATACATGAGACCCTTTTACATGTTCACGCAAACCTGAGTACTTTTTCGATAAGATCAGAGACACACAGCTATAATACAAGATACGCTAATGATATATCATTACCGCAATCTAGGATCGCCATGACACAACACAACAAGATTAATGTGTCGCTTTACAATAACTTTGTTAGATATCATAAGCGGTCCAATATTGAGAAGATGTCTAACAAACAGTTCTCTAGGTTTGTCAAAAACTATTTGTTAAGAAACTGCTTCTATACTGTAAGTGAATATTTAAGTGCATGTGATCCTAGTGATCAGTGATCGTGTGTAGAGCAAGAAGACAGACTCTGTATAAACTTTATCTAGTTTGTGACTTCAAACATATATCTCTATGTATAGGTGGTCAATAAATCGTATGGTATGGTATGGTATGGTATTATTATTATTATTATAAATATGATTATTATTATTATTATAATTGTTGTAATTATTACTATTATAATAATAATTATTATTATTATTACTATTATATTATTGTAATTATTATTATTATTATTATTATTATTATTATTATTATTATAATTATGATTATTATTATTATTATAATTGTTGTAATTATTACTACTATAATAAAATAATAATAATTATTATTGTTATAATTATTGTAATTATTATTATTATTATAACTATTATTACTATATTATAATGCTTATTATAATTATTATTATTATATAATAATAATAATAATAATAATTATTATTATTATTATAATTATGATTATTATTATTATTATAATTATTGTAATTATTACTATAATAATCAATTATTATTATGATTATCATATTATTTTTATTATTATTATAATTATTTGATATTATTATGTAGTATTATTATTATTATAATTATTATTATCATTATGATTATTATTATTATTATTATTTATTATTATTACTATTATCTTATTATTTAATTATTATTTATTTAGTATTGTAATTATTATTTATTAATATATTTTGTAATTATTACATTATAATATAATAATAATAATAATAATAATATAATTATTATTATTATTATTATTCTTATTATAATAATTATGATTATTATTATTATTATAATTATTATGATTATTATTATCATTATTATTATAATTATGATTATTATTATAATTATTGTAATTATAATTATAATAATTATTATTATTATAATTATTGTTATTATTATTATTTTTATTATTATTATTATTAGTATTATTATTACAATTATTATTATTATAATAATTATAATAATTACAATTATTATAATAATTATAATAGTAATAATAATTTTTTTTCTTTTTTTTTATAGGACCGTCGCCAGGCCGCAACCTGGAGCGAGTGGGTCTACGAACCGCCTTTGTGCTGGAACCGCCAAGATGGCATAACTTCACGCACGCAGGCTGTCTTATCTTCATCGTCTTGTTCTTCAGTTGTCCTCGTAGTAGTCGTCCAATCGCACCCTACATCTCCCATCCCGGACTTGCCGGATTAGGAGTTCGGGGATGTTTGTACTCCATCGTCTGCCTTCTTCAGTTTTAGTAGTTCCTCCACGAAAGATGAGATCATATGCCAGTGATTCTCGCTGGCAAGCATCGTGGGCACCGCCGACTCAGGTGTGAAGGTTAAACCTATTTGTTGTTCCAACTGGCTCCTCAGTACAGCCCATCTCCTACAGTCGAAGAAGGTGTGTTCGGCTGAATCGATGTCCGTCTGGCAATAGCGACAGTAGGGACTATCCTTAATGGTACGCAGGTTTAGGTATCGGTTGAAGTTCCCGTGTCCTGTAAGAAACTGAGTAATGTAGAAGTTTACATCCCCATGCCTCCTACAGTACCAAGGTTCAACCTGCTGAATAAGTGTGTGCGTCCAGGAGCCCTTAGGATCGTTCTCCCATCTTGCCTGCCACTCACGCAGGGTCCGTTGCCTGACTGCAGTGAAAGGTTTTGGTACTTCACTGGTGTCGTACAGCCTTTGACGTTCCAGTGCCAAAAGATCAATCGGTATGGCGCCTGAAACTACCAAAATGGCCCCCTCAGCGACAGTGCGATACGCTGACGATATTCGCAGAGCTGCTGTTCTCTGAACTGATGCGAGTCTTCTTCTGTAGGTTTCGATTGTCATTGCGTTAGCCCAGATTTCCGCTCCGTACAGCATCATTGAATTGGCGACGTTCATCAGTACCCGCCTCTTATCTGCTCTAGGACCATCGACGTTTGGCATAATCCTAGACAGCGCGGTCACAACTTTTATGGCTTTGTTTGCCACTTCTGTGAGATGTTGCTTGAATGTCAGTTTTTGGTCCAACCATATTCCCAAATACTTCACCATTTCATGAGAGGTGATGGTGACTCCCGAAAGGTTTAGCATCAGGGGCAGGGAATGTAGTCTTTGTCTGGTAAGCACGGTCACTTTGGTCTTGTCTGCAGCCATTTGTAAGCCGTGTTGTTTCATCCAAAAGTGCACCGAGTGCACTGCAAACTCGGTTTCTAGGCGCGCAGTCTCCATGTCCCTGGCAGTTACCACGGCAACGATATCGTCAGCGAACCCCACTAGTTGGACACATTTCGGTAGCTCGATTCTTAGGATCCCATCGTACATCGCATTCCGGCCCAAGCGCAGAACCCTGGGCTACACCGGCAGTGATTTTCTGAACCTGCTGACCTTCTAGGGTTTCGTAAGTCAGACTTCTGTTGGAAAGGTAGTCGTTGATCACCCGTAGTAGGTATGCCGGAATCTTGAAGCGCTCTTCTAGGGTATTCATGATATCGACCCACCTTGCTGAGTTGAAGGCATTTTTCACGTCGAAGGTGATCAGAACACAGATACTGCGACTGCGGTGATTTCCTCGCCAGGCCGTGTACGTTTGTTCCACTACCTCACGCAGTGCTCCTACTGTTGAATGGCGCGGTCGGAATCCATGTTGATGGGCGGATAATCCTTCAGCGTCTTCGATTGCATCACGTAGTCTCTGTCGAATAAGCCTTTCAAACATTTTGCCCGCATCGTCCAGCATACATAGTGGTCTAAACGAAGACGGTGTTATGGGTAGACCCTTTCCCTTGTCTAGTAGTACTAGCCTCTGTACCTTCTATCTTGTTGGAAAGATACCTGCTTGGAGGCAAGTGTTGTACATATTCAGCAGAATAGTTGGGTGTTCGAGCGCTATAGCTTTGATAATCTCTATCGGGATACAGTCGGGACCCGGGGACTTCCTGACTTTCGCTACGCTAGCGACGGCTCTCAATTCCTCTTCAGTGAAAAGATCAAAGTTTCCGTGGACTTGAAATTCCTTAATGGGTTTGTCCGGGTGTTCAGGGAACAAGGTGGTTACGATTTCCTTCATTCTTTCCAGCTCAAATGGGCCAACAGGTCTCTGCTGTCCAAGACGTCGCATCACTATCTTGTAGCCATACGTCCTGGTCTACGTCATTACAGAGACTCTTCCAGCATGCCTTCTTAATAGCACGAATCGCCATTCTCAGTTGCCTTTTGGCTTCCGTGAATTGTTGCTCCATGGCTACATCTCGTTGGTCCCTTCTCTTAGCCCTCTGTACAATGCGTCGTAGCTGCAGAGTCCTTTTGCGAAGTTCTGCGATCTCGTTATTCCACCAATAAACCTGTCTCCTGAAACAATTGGCAGATCTTCTAGGCATGGCGGCGTCGCAGCAGTTAATAATCTGCTGCATTGTGTTCTCCACCAAGGCCTCTGCACTCTGCATAGATATTTCTGCATTTTGAGTACCAATAACTTCGATATTGGTAAGATGTCTGCTCAGGATATCCTTGTTCAAACGGGAAATATTCCATCCCCCAATAGTGGTTTGCGTAGGTTTATCTTTCCTTCCACCATCTAGCTGGATCCTAAACCTGACATATTGGTGGTCGCTTCCAGAGTAATCTTCCAGAACTGCTCATTCTGTCACCGCGCGCGCTACTGAAGAAGATGCCAGAGAGATATCAATAATTGACCCTCTTTGACCACTTCTCCTGAAAGTGGATGTATTGCCAGTGTTCAGGATAGTTAGGTCGAATCTAGCTGCTAGATCAATGATCGCTGTACCTCTCGAACAGGTCCAATCCATGCCCCATGCGGTCGATTTTGCATTGAAGTCGCCAGCTAAGACAACGTTGTTGCCCAAGTTTTGCAAAGTCTCTTCCAATTTGTCTAACTTCGCCCGAAATATATCAACTTTGTCGTTCGGAGACAAATAGATGCTTACGTAGGTTCTCGTTCCAGTCTTTAACCATACGAAGCCGTTTTCAGAGCCATAGTCGGATACTGGGAAGTTGGACTGGTTCCTAACCCAAATTGCAGCAGTTCCGGTTTGGTCTGTGTACCAGTTGGAATGTTTTTCATTTTTGTACTGCTCAGAAATTATGACCATGTCCACCGCGTATTCCTGCGTAGCTTGTTGAAGCACATTTTGAGCCAACTTGGACCTGTTCAAATTACATTGGAGGATACAGGCCATGGGTTTGGTGGCTGTTGTTTAATCCTTCTATCCTCTGGACACCAGGCTTGATATCCTTGCCTGGTTCACCAGTTTCCTAAATCCAGGACACCTAATTTGGTCTGCTCGATGTCCAGCTGTCTTGCAGGTAGTGCAAAACGAGGTGTTCTTGCAGTCTTTCCGCTGGTGTCCTGCCTGGCCACAGTTCCTGCATTCACCTCTCCTGTCTGCTCCAGTACACCTTTCAGCTCTATGGCCAAACTCTAGGCAGTTGAAACAGCGCAAGATCGAGACCCGCTCCTTCACCGGCCATATAGACCAGGTGGTCACTATACGTCCCTTTTGAATTAGGTACTTTGCTGGTATCTTATCCATTACCACCGTCGCCGTCTGGTTTCCAAATTTACCCACTTTTAGTGCGGCTATCCGAAAGCGAGAGCCCTCAATGCCGGTGTCAGTCGTAATGGCTTGCGAGACTTCTGCCGTCGTTACCGAAGGGTCGATGCCAAACACAAAAAGAGTGACGTCCGAGTTCCTTGTGCGTGCATCCACCTCTTTGACCTTCGACGTTATTTCATCTCTTAAGGCATTTGCCTTACCTTCTCCTTCCACCACAAGGACTAGGTCACCATTTTCTTGTTTCCTTATGCTTGTGACATTTACATCAATCTTCTTGATGTCAACTTTTTCTTTAACTGTTCTGACCAATTCCGCAAAAGTTTTCCCTTGCCCTTTAACCACCACTGTTTCCTGACGTGCTCGACTTTTTTGTCGGTCTGGTGGCTTTGTTTTTGTCCTGCCTACTTCAGCTGCTACTTTTCCTTGTACAGCGTACTTCACCTGTATCCCACTTTTCCTGAAAACACACTCCAGCAGTTTTCTAGTGTAGTTTTTATCCAGTTCCTCCGGGGTAGTTACAACTATTTTGTGGCGATAATGCTTTATGGTTTCCTCCCTCAAGTTGCATAAAACTTGGTATAGGTCTCGCATATCGTTTATTCCGTCAGGGTCCACTTTATATGGCAGTAGGAAGATAAATCTCGATTTATTGTCCTGCCTTCCACGGCTCGTCGATATTTTGGTCGACATTTCCATGAATTCTACTCCACCCTCTAATATTTGACCACCGATTAAGTCCGAAATTTCTGGATATCGTTCCTTGACTAACTTGACCGCTCCTTTTGCTGCCGGGCTAGCAGCATCTACAACCAGAGCCATGTCCCACTCGTCGCCTGCCTTAAGCGGATTAGGCCCCACGCACTCCGTGGTTTTATACACGTATTCAGGCCATTTAGTGTCCAAGAGGGTGGCGAATTCTTCGAAGGAGCTCCCATTTTCTACTTCCTTGTTAATTTTGGTTGCCTGGTAGTCGATGTTCACTTGCGTCCCAACGTCCTTGGTGCTACAGCCCGTCTCTCCTGTTGTAGTGGTTTCGACCTGCGTATACGCTTCTGAGGTCTGGCAGTTAAGATGCTCTGTACGTAGTTCCTCAAACTCGCGTAGCTTTAGCAACACCGTATCCGCAATTCGGGTCATCACATTGACTCCCTTTTTTATTTCAGCCTTGGTATTTGTAGGCACGATGTCAGTCAATTCCTTTCCGGAGCGTGACAACTTTTGCAACAGACCTCTCATTTCCCCTATCAGCTTTTCTTGTTCCATATTTGCTGCCTTCTGACTCTCCTTCGGAGGGGCTTCCTCCCGCGCTCTCTTCTGCGGCTGACTGACAGTGAAGATGGAGTTATCTCCTGCCCAAGAGTGAAGTCTGCCTCTCGGAGGCGTTCGATGTAAGGAGTCCCTCCTTTCAAAGGGATTGATGTTCCCCTCATCGTCTATTATCATTCCAGACACTATTTCTTCCACTCCCGCCTGGTTGCTCACGGGAGTTATCGCCCTGTCACTGGCTAACGGTCGGGCGGGGCCAGAGCGAGCACCACCGTCACCGACCGGTACTGGGGTTCCGAGTCCCTGCACCGTAACTTCTACCTTCTGCACTTTTCTGTTCATATTTCATATTTTATTTTGTTTCCGTTTCCATTGCCAAGTCGTCATCTATCCCACCATGTCGTCATCGTCGTTCCATAACCATTACCTCGTCCAGTCCATTGCCAAGTCGTCGTCGTCCGGTCCTTGCTGGTATGCTTCAGTTTTTAAGCGCCCGAAGACCCGCTTTTGTCCTTCCCGTTGGCGGTATAACTCTATCGGGGAGCCCTCCCAGCGTCATACCTTCGGCGGACACCTGCCGAACTCAGGGTCAAGTTCGACTAAGGTGGGATATAGGACTTGTTGGTTCTTATCTTTTGTAGACTGTGGGCGTTTCACAAGGGTTTTATTGGAGTGCAGTACCAGCACCTCACACCCCCCCCTGGACCCAGTGACCAACCGTTTGTCCACCAATAGTAATAATAATAATAGTAGTAATAATTATTATAATTATTATTATTATAATTATTGTAATTATTACTATTACAATTATTATTATTATTATTATTATTATTATTATTATTATTAAAATTATTATTATTATTATTATTGTAATTATTATTATTATTATTATTATAATTATGACTATTATTATTATAATTATTGTTATTATTGCTATTATAATAATTATTATTATCATAATTATGATTATTATTATAATTATTGTAATTATAATTATTATAATTATTATTATTATTGTGATTATTATTATTATAATTATTGTAATTATAACTATTACAATTATTATTATAATTATTATTATTATTATTATGATATTATTATTATTATAATTATTGTAATTATTACTATAATAATAATCCTTATGATTATTATAATTATTATTATTATAATTATTATGATTATTATTATTATAATTATTGTAATTATTACTATAATATAATCATTATTATTATTATAATTATTATTTATTATTATTATTATTATAATTATGATTATTATTATTATAATTATTGTAATTATTACTATTATAATAATAATTATTATTATTATTATTATTAGTATTATAATTGTAATTATAATTATAATTATTATATTATTATTATTATTATATTATTGTAATTATTATTATTATTTGTTCATTCAATCATCTCTCTGAGAGGGTTTGATATGCTTAATCCAGGTTTGCACCGGAGGATGTAAGCATTTTGAAGGCAACTACCAATTTTGCACGTTACAATGTCGAGTTTTCGCCTGCCAGGACCCTACGGACTGTTCTGCATGTCCCCAGTAAAGCGGCTTTCTGATTTTTTTGTAAACATGTTGGTCAAGGTCTAACTTTTCAAGACTTGTGTGTAACTTCTTAAGGACCTCACCTGTTGCGCCAATAACTATCGGTACAATCGTAACTGTATTCATTCCCCACATCCGCTTTATTTCTTCTGACAGTGGTATTATTATTATTATTATTATTATTATAAGTATTGTAATTATTATTATTATTATAATTATTATTGTAATTATACTATTATAATAATAATAATAATTATTATTATTATTATTGTTATTATTATTATAATTATGATTATTATTATTATAATTATTACTATTATAATTATTGTAATTATATTATTATTATTATTATTATTATAACTATTATTACTATTATTATAATGCTTATTGTAATTATTATTATTATAATTATTTTTATAATTATTGTAATTATTACTATTACAATTATTATTATAATTATTATTATTATTATGATATTATTATTATATTGTATTATTATAATTATGATTATTATTATTATTATAATTATTGTAATTATTACTATTATTATTATTATTATAATTATTATTATTATTATTGTAATTATTATGATTATTATCATTATAATTATTGTAATTAGTATTATTATTATAATTATTATTATTATTATAATTATGATTATTATTATTATTATAATTATTGTAATTATTACAATAATAATAATCATTATTATTATTATAATTATTATTATTATTATTATAATTATGATTATTGTTATTATAAGTATTGTAATTATTACTATTATAATAATTATTATTATTATTATAATTATGAAATTATTATTATTATTATTATTATTATTATTATTATTATCATTATTATTATTATTATTTGTTTATTTTCCACAGCCCTATCAATTCAACTGGTTCTGTCCATGTGGCCGGTTTTGGTTGGTCATTTTCATTATGGTACTTCGAAGATGTTACCCACATCCTAACGAAGTCCATTACCTTATAGTGTCTTACGTAATATGGTTGCTGTACCATACAAAGCAATCTCCTGCACGTCTGCTGTCCTGTGCCTTCCTGGTATGAGATTTAGGTTTTCATGTAAATTGTCTGGGATCGTCCCTAATGCACCTAAAATTACGGGAACTATCTTCGTCCTCAGATTCCACATTCTTTGGATTTCAATTGAGAGATCTTTGTATTTCAATTTCTTTTCAGCTTCTTTGTTTACAACGTTTTCATCGTTGGGGACTGAAACATCTATTAGCAGGCAGGTTTTGTCACGTTGGTTTTTGACGATTATGTCTGGGCGGTTCGCGGATATCTCACGATCTGTTTGCACTGGTAAGTCATATATTATGGTAATCTCATCTTTACTAACTCTTGGAGTGGGGTTGTTTTTATACCATTTTTCTTCCACTGCGATCCCAAAGCTAATACAGATGGCATGATGCAAGTATATCAATATTTTATTATGTCGGACCAAGTACTCGTGCTTCGCCAGTTGAGGACAGCCGGATATAAGATGATCTATTGTTTCTGAGTATTGTTTGCACATTCGACATCTATCATTTGCTGTTATTTTGAGGATATGTTTCTCATAATGTCTTGTACGTAAGGCCTGGTCTTGGGCGGCCGTTATCAGGGCCTCTGTTTCACCTTTTACCTTCCCTCTCGTGAGCCATGCAAACGTTTGGCATTCATTAATCCCTGGCCTCTTAATTCTCTTCACGTATTGACTATGAAGCTGCTTTCGTATCCATTTATCCTTCAAGGTCTTCCTTGTCATGGCCTTAATATCTGTAGACAGTAATTCTTCTTCATCCTCGACCGCTTGATTTTCTATTTCCGGTAAATGTGTCTTTACAATTTTTATCGCTGACTTGACTACTGACTTTCCAACTCGAGGGTGCCTTTCACATCTCCAAATTTGTCTAACTAACTTATCATTTCTACGGCTTCTTAAATAATTGGCTATGGATACAACTGTATTATCATAAGTCATCTCTAATTGCCTGAGTCCTCTACCTTCTTCTTTACGATTCCAGATAGCCTGTCTACATCAGCTCTAGGATGCAGCTGTCCATGAATAGTAAGCATCTTCCTTGTTTTACGATCTAGGTCTGCAATTCCCTTCTGACTCCAATCTATGAT